CGCCTTCGAGGATGACGACGGGGACATCTTGTGCGAAGTGTCCGACTACCCGAACCGGTACATCGTCGACGGCTTCTACTACGACGTGCTCCTCGACCGCAACGGCAAGGCCACCGAGTTTTGGACCGACAGCCAGCTTGCGCACAAGTCCTTCTCGCGCCTCACACGGTACCGCCTCCGCAAGAAGGATTTTGTCAAGGGTAGCGGTGGTGGTGGCGGCGGCGGGGACGGCGGGGACGCCAAGCTGCCGGCGCCCGAAATCGTCATGGAGGTGCCGTCGCCGCACTCGGGCGACATGCCCGTCATCAACCCGCACTACCGCTGTCGGAAGCACCGGTACGGCTACTTCCTCGTCAGCCGCGCCCTCAGCACCCTCTTCGACGCCATCGCCAAGATCGACACCGAGACCCGCGAGCTGCTCCAGTGGGAGGGACCGCGCGGCCACACGCCCGGCGAGGCCATCTTTGTCCCGCGGCCGACGGCAGCCACCGCCGACGGGGCGGTTCCGGACGAGGACGACGGCGTCTTGCTCAGCGTCGTGCTCGACGGCGCCAACAGGACGAGTTACCTGCTGTGCCTGGACGCCAGGACCATGACGGAGCTGGGGCGTGCCGAGTGCGAGTTTGCCGTGGCCCTTGGACTTCACGGTCGCCATGTTGCGGCGTCATGAAGGCCCTCCGCGTCGAGAAGGGAGATGGGCAGTTAGAGAGTATGAACGCGGTGTTGTCTTTTTCAGGTCCCGTGCAACAGTAGTTGATCTCGTGTCGATGATGAATACCACTCCCCTACAACTTTCATCATTGCACACAGTGGCATTTGATCTTCAGGAGCAGAATCTCTAGTATTTTGCGGGACACCATCGGTTCAAGAGCTGGAGCTACCTAAGTAACAAGCACAAGGGACTTGTCTCATCTCCCATTTCCCCTTAGGGCCACTTAACGCCGTATTGCGCGCAGGTGTCAGTCTTCCACTGAATCATGGCCAGCCTAAGAGTTCATGGTATGATTAGTTGTCGTTACCAACCCAACCGCCGCCGATCCTGGGCAAGACATGCGCCTAGCTGTGAAGCCGGGCTGCAAATGCCGGCTGCAGCTGTAACGGAACTGGCAGGCATCAAACCTTTTGGAAATGGGTCTAATCTGAATGGGTGCGAGACAACTGTACCTAGGCACCTACCTATTCATTCCAGTTGTTAAACTCCCTCCACCTCAGCTGCATCATTATGGGCGGCTCATAAATCCAGCTCGAACTCTTGTCCTCCCTGCGCGTGAAAGGCCCAAGGGCCACCGGAGGGCTCAACCGACCCTGGGTTCCGAGGGGATACACACCATCGACAGCGTCTTTCTCGTCCAAGGACCGGAAAACCGCGTCATCTCTCGGCACCGGCGCGGGCGCCGACGGCGCCATTGCTGCCAGCGCTGGATACCAAGTCGGTCCTTCAGGCCGGGCCCGCAGAGCCATCGCCAGGTTCCCCCTCACATGCGCCGCGTCCGCCAGGAAGTCCCGAAAGACGGCCCGCGCGGCCGAGTCGTCCAGGACCGTGAGAAGGTCCATGTCTGTCGGCACGTCCTGATTTGGCCACGACCCCAACCGCCACCTGGCGCGCAGCATCCTCGACGTTTCTTCCACGCGCTCGCCGACCAGTTGGCCGTCCACCCCTGGTTCTGTCTCCCGCAAGAACTTCTCGACCCCGCCCACAACGTCCACATAGTCGGGCCCGGCGAGCTGCTCCAGGCTCAGACCAGCCGCTGCTGCATCGTCGCCGGCCAGGGCAATGCGTTGCCGCACCCGGAGCAAGGCGTAGCGCACGACGGGAACGCCTATCAGAGAGTCCCCCGGGTACCCCCAACTGAGGTATTGTCGACGGGCTTTCCTTGTCTTTCGCGTCGTCTGCCAGTCGTGCGAGACGACAGCGACCCAGCTGCCGGGCTCGAGAGGGCCGACCGGCGGCCAGCACTCGCCGTTCGGCGCCGGACTTGGATTGGCTGTGGCTGGTGAGGGAACTAGGCTGCTTCGCCGCCCACGAATCGCCAGGTTCTCGGCAGGCATCGGACTGATGATGGAGTTTTCCGTTTGGGGAGCCGACAAGGTTGATGCCGTCGCCACGAAGCTTGTCAAGAAGCTGTCGTCGAGGACTCGGCCACAGTACTGCAGGAACCCCGACACGAAGCGTTCCGGTTTGAGGAGCATATCGCCCAGGAAGAAGTGGCAGGGCCAGAATGTCACGTTCACATGTTCCTCCTCTTCCTCTTCCTCTTTGTCCTCCTCCTCCTCATCTTCTTCCGCATCATAGTCGTCAATGTCTTGTTCTTCTACTTCTTCGATTGGTACGAACTGCTTGCGAACAAACATGTGCTGCACCGGGAATGCGCCCCGCAGGGCAGGGGAGTCCAGCCGGGCGCCTGTTCGCGGGCCTTGAAGCCAGAGAGCACGTCGAAGTGGTGCGGAGAAGGCAGAGGTGACGAATATATTCCTGGATGTAAGGAGGGTCGAGGCAAATGGGGAGGTACATATCTGCGAGAACAGATCCGACGACTTGTCGTCGTTGACACGAGAGGGGCCCTGGAGAAGGCAGATGTCACGAATCGTGTCGTGCCGGGAAAGCGTCTCAAGCAGCGGCGTGGGAGGGTCGTCCATAGCATCGATGCAGATGCTCAAGGCCTGGGCGTCGCTCAGCTGCGCCGAGTCGAGAGTGGTGGCGACATGCTTGTACGACAAGTTCCGGTAGGCCGCCCAGTCCAGGTGCCGGCGTCCGGCATAAGCAAGCCGGAGAAGTTGGGCCGATGCGCCGGAAGGCCGCATCTTGTCTGCGTCCTCGAGAAGGCGCTCTCGGAGATGGCTCTGGAAGCCTGGTAGCGAGAGGGAGCCACGGTGGGCTTCAAGATCGATCGTCTTTGCGTGAAGCAGCGCAGAAATTGCCTTCTCGACAGCGGCATCGTGGTCGCCAACGGGAACGTCCGGGATGCTGTCGTCGCTGCTCCCGCTCAAAGAGGGTGGCCAGATATCTTCCGAGTTGTCAACATTCCAAACCACGCGCATGCATGATTCCCGGGGCGTGCGCGGGACGACTTACACCTGAGGGCCCGGGGTTCGACAATACCGTGTTTTTCCAGCCGGTCAACGCCATCCGGCGCCTCCTCCAGACCGAACTTGGCCATATACGCGCAGGCAGAGAGCGGCGTCCGCGCGCCAGAATTGTCGAGAAAAAGCACCGGCGGCGAGCCGTGGTACCTACTCTCTGCGCGATCAAAATACCAGGTTCCGGCGAAACCAGCGTCCTCAGCCGCGACATAGCTGAGTTTGGACCCGACGATACCGTACCGCACGGCATCCAAGTCGGAGATGTCGATGACGACGGCGCCATACTCGAGCGCGTCGTCACGAAAGACGGTGGAGAGTGGACGTTCCTGGACGTCGTCGAGTCGAGCTCCGGACCCGCTGTCATCCAGACGGTTCAAGGCCATGCGCAGGCATGAAGAGATGAATGGGAATTCGCGGATGGCATCTGCGTCCAGCCATGGCGGCGACTCGGGCGGCGGAGTCAGCTCGGCGCCCGCGGGGGGGCTGCCGCTCCAAAACACGCAGTCGGCCAGGCTGGGTTGCGGCAGGTCGGGGACTTGCACGCGCTGTGGTTCCTCCGGACAGCGTCTCCCGCGGTGCTCGGCCGCAGCCAGGGACAGTTCCGCCTCGATGGCAACGCGATTGGCTGGGCAGGTCAGGATGTCAACGGCGCTCGCGCAGTCCTGCACGACCTGGCGGACGCGCCGCCATTCGTTCTCGATGTCGCGGCCGGGACCAGGAAATCGGCCCAGCCGGTAGGTAACGGCGAGAGGGCGGTGGGGGCCCCCGGAGCCCGACGCACCTACATCGGCGATGATGAAGAAGAGGAATGACCGGGGGCCGACGGTCGCTATGAGGCTCTCCCTCTCTACCCTACGCATGCTGGGCTTTGGGTGCGACGCTGATGGTACGAAGCCAAGAATTTATTGAAGGCCACACGAGGATCGATGATGTACATGTATTTGATGATGGGCATGCCTCGACTCCCGTAAATGTTTCGGGCTGGTGTTTGTGCTTGAAGGAAATGGTACCGGAATGAAAGTTGAGGCACAGCACAGACCCGAAGTTCTTATAATGTAACCAATGACTCACTCGTGCTTATTCGGTGTGGTATCCCGCATGCATGCGGAGTTGGCTCCCTCGTGACAGGTGCGTCAGTTGGGGACTCGACGCTTAATATGTGCGCCAGGAACACGGCCACAATCTGGCAGCTTCCCGTCATTTACTGTACTGGATCCAGCCTGATGTGAAAAAGGGAACGTCCCGGGCTCGGGCGGCGACAGCAGCGAGGCCCATACGGTGTCCTTCAACGCGGTGGACGGCCTCAAGTGCTCGGACGAGGGCACTGAGAAGGCCATTGGCACCCTCAAACGCCCCGGCGCGTCGAGCATCCACTGCGAGCCCATGGACGTGCCTGTTGGGTGCGTCGACCAGATTCCGGCCATTAACGCGAGGTGTATTGCTCTTGGGGTCAAGGATGATGACAAATGGGCTACATTCACGACGAGGCCAGACCCAAGGACTGTAGATAGATGTTTCATCAAAGGGCTAGAAAAGTTGAAAGAGAGAAATATAGGTACCTTTTGAGCATCTAAGGGAGGGTCTGCCGTGATTTGTAGTGATCCGCACTGAGCTATAGCTCTCAAAGCCCGAGAAACAAAAGATGATGCTGTTTTCCAAGGAGAAACTTGGAAAGCCGATCGTCCATTCCCCATAAAAGAACGTACCAAGGCGAAGACTAGCAAGCTAGGATGAGAAGGCACTGACCAAAAAAAGAAGATGTGTGAAGAAAGGGTCAATAAAAGGTGAGGAAGAATGCAGGTTCGTCAAATGATCCAAGACACCAAAGATGACGACCAGGAAAGGATGTTTGATGCAAAGCGGAGCTGGTGCTGCTGCACAGCAAACGCCAAGACCACAGACCCCAAAACCAGCAAAAGTGGATGCACCCGGGATCGAACCGGGGACCGTTCACAATCATTGAAGAGCCAATGCAAAGCGAAAATCATACCACTAGACCATACACCCAATTGGTACCAGTATCAACCTTGTGCGTCACTTATAATCTCTTGCGACAATTCACTGAGCTCTCAACAGGTCAGGTCAAGATGCAAATGGCCCAAATTGCGGCCAGAGTTGTCACAATTGACCGCTCAGCTCTCTTGCAAGCCCAAAACTCTCAAGCCGGTAAATTTGAAGACGGGAGGTGCGTTTGCTCTCACCCATGCCCGCTGTTAGGGAAGCGCGCGAACCTCAGCCATCGTGGGTTGTGGAGGAAGAGCAGAGGGAAGGAAGAGCCATCCAACTAACAACCCACAGTTGTCTCCATCCATGAATTCCAGTGCAGAAAATCCAGCCCCCAACTTCAACGGAAAGATTAACTGAACACGCAACAAACCAGCACGTAGTTGCTGATAATTCTAACAACAAGCCCGGGCAGCCATCGGCAATCAACCAGGGCGCCACAATCAAGCCACCATCCATTTGGGGTGGGAAACTGGTGGATGCAATCGGCAATCGACATTGTCATCAAACAACACACACGCATCAGTCATCATTTCAGACAAACAAGAATTGCTAACATCAAACAACCAACTTGGGTAATTGCACCTCTCTCTGACAAGACTATCTCCCTACCTAACCCCCCGCTTGCTATGCTACCCAACCCAATCCAGAACCCGCATCCTCCACTACTCAAAAAAGGTGATGAAAACCCGCAACCAAAGCGCCATTCCACGTCCCACTCATCGCCAGACCCCAAAGAAGGAAACGAAACCAAAGTATGCCCAAGATTAACCAAGGTATACACAAGAACTCAAACAACCATGTCCACTCCCTCACCCCCACCGTCAAAAAAGCCAAGACGAAAAACAAAATCCGTGTGTCTGCCCAATCCACGTCCAACTGCAGCCCTCCAAAACAAAGATTCTGCTCCGCCTGGCGTCGGATCCAACAAGAGACACGCATCAGAAACAACGCGAACAAAATGAAAAACAAAAGGCAAGAGCAGGTAGCCAAGCAAAACCTTCTTTTTTGCCAGCCCCCAACCCCTTTTTCAAATCCATGTCTACCCAGGATCCTGACGAGTAAAGGGAAAGACAAGCGAGGCGGGTAGAGATAGAACCCAAGTCGTGTCCAGCGAGGACGCGGCGATATGTAAGAGATAATGGGGTGTTGCACAGCGAGGCGCGAGCCTTCGGATGTATCGTCTTCTTTTTTGGGTGTTTGGGTGGTGATACAGGAGGTTTTGGGCCTCGGTGAGAGGATGACGAAGTTGGCGGTGGTGTGGAACCAGGTGAGGATGCTGGGAGTTTGTAGGGGAAGAAAAGGTGACCATGTCTCGTCTTGGCGTTGAAATGAAAAAGTTTGAACATGCAAATGGGTATCATAAAAGCCAGTAAAAAATGCTGATGTTTTGGGGGGACGACGAGTGTGGCGATGGTGTGGCTCATCGCGGGTGGTGGTCAATGGTTGAGTGGTTGAGGAAGTGCAACCCAAGGAGGCATCAGACCTGCGTTGAGAGGCTCTGGTTGCTGTTGCCTCTCATCCAGCTAAACATGCCGCCGCCTAGGGGTGTGGCGGGACCTTCAATAGGCGTGCGGAGCTGTTGCATCTCCCTGGGCTCGAGCAGGAGACTTTTGCGGTAGTGCGTCGCTTGGGCGTTGGAGCCTGCTTTCTCCCTTTCCCGGACACGGTCAAGCTGCGCTGCCAGCCAGTCTTGTAGATCTGGCACTTCTGTGAGCCGGTAAGGGATCTGGAAACGCTGCAGCTCCCCGATGCTCTTGGCCGTGCGTGTGTGCTTGTCAAAGTTGATGACTGTCAGCCCCGTGTCGCTGGTCTTGGTGGCCGGGTTGCCCACGTCCACGAAGGTAAGGTCCGTCAGAAACATGCCGAGGAACGGCAGACACGGGGGTACTTGGTCGTGGAGCTGGGCGCGCAACACCTTGAAGTTTTGGTTGAAGTCGACAGTCGCCTGCAGCGACTTCAGCATCTCCTTGCGTTTGGCAGGGACGGCATCCCACGTCATCTTCAAACGCTTGATGCTTGTGTCGCTGAGTGCGCAAGTAATGGCCATGAGGGCATCGAAATTGCTGAGCAACGAGCACTGGTTCGCGATCTTGATCCAATGCTTGATCGCCAGGGCCCGCTTCTTGACCTCTTCGTAATGTAGGATGGTGTCGACAACGAGATTCGTCAGCCCGGTCGTGAAGGCCGTCATCGCCTTGACATTGGGCGTGTCCATCCCCCCGAGCTTGGTCCACTTGGAGCCCAGAAGCTCCTCGGGTGTAATCGAGCAGAACAGCGACATTTGCTTCATCGTCAACTGACGGGCAATCTCGAGAGCATCAAAGTCGACGATCGACGGAGAGCTACCGCCAATTCGCCAGTTGGCCAGGGCATTGACTTGGCTCCTGCTCAGCGATGGTGCCGGAAGTGGCGTGTCGGCTGGAACGTACTGAGCCACCGAGGGGCCCGTCTTGCTCATGGAGGAGACGAGCCGCGGGACAAGGGTGCCGTCGATGACGGACACCTTCTCGGCCAGATCGAACAGACGGCGCCCCGCTGAGGGAAGCACAGCCGTCAGTTTGTCCCCGGCAAACTGCTTAATGAGCGGGAGTGCGTCGCGATCTGCCTCTTCCCGCCAGTGCGACTCAAGCCAGCCCTTGAAGACGTTGTACGTCCTCAACCGCACCGGCGCCGCAATATGCGGGGCCTCCCCGACGTAGTCGAACCGATGGATCAGGGCCTCGGTAAGTGCCACGGGCGTGCAGAAGAGGCGAAAGGTGAGGTAAAATGTGGAGACGAACATGGCGTCGGGTGTAGCCTCGTGCGTAGTGAGGCGCTCGACCAAAGCAGGCAGCGAGCCGCCGGTCACCTGGCCCTCCTTGTTAAAGATCAATTCGTGGGCGTATGTCTTTTCCAGAAGCTTGCACTCAAGTTCCTCGTCCTCGGTTGGCGCGAGACTCTCTGACACGCTCAAGCTCGACAGCGACGGCTGGTTTTTGGGGCCTTGCGCGAGATCCGGTGTGGTCGCGCGGGTCGAGGATTGCGACACGATGCTGGATTCGGAGTCGCGGCTGAGATAGGTGCTACCAGAGCCAGCACTGAATGCAGTCATGCACTCGGACCGGAAAGAGTGAAACTCGCCCTCCCGCATCGCAGACGGCTCCGTGGGGCTGTAATTTTCGCTCGGCAGGGACGTGGTGGAGATCTTGGGAAGCGGTGGCAGGTCGGGACGGAGAGAGGAAACGGATGACACCACGCTAGAACCGCAGCTGTCAAGCAGAAACGTCTGCGAATGTGGTGCAAGAAAGGACGCGTGCGACGTCGGCTGCTCCGAGACAGGAGAAGAGACCTGAGGAACCTCCGGGAGGGGCTTGTCGATCGAGAGGGACCGGGCGTGGGGAGCAGTAGAGCTGGCCACGGAGCTGGCCACGGAATGCGTCGTCGAGGCGGTTGGGGTTTCGGACAGAGTGGACTCGGCGATACTCGGCAACTCGCTGTCACTGGGCTTGGCCCTCTCCTCTTGAATGGCGGCCAGGTCTGACAAGCCAAAGTCGATGCCCAGGCTGCCATGCTCAAACTCGAACTCAAAGTCGCCGATCCGCTCAATCACCCATCTTGTCTTGGCGACACACTCTCCCGTCGCCTTCACACAGCCCGTCGCGGCTCCCAACAACCGACCATTATCATGTGGTACAATCATGTCCTCCTCCATCTCGGATTGCGGGTTGGTGAGGATATCGCGTGCCGTGTGCACAAGGTCCTGGATGCGGTGGTACATGGCAGCACGAGCTGGCTCGAGCGCGTCGATGCTGATCGAGGTCTGCGCGCAGACCACATCCACCACCCACAGCAGCTCTCCTCCGGAGGTTGCTGACTGTTTGACGGCAACGGCGAGACTGGGGCGGGACTGGGATTGTAGTTGCAGCCGTCCGATGAAGGATCCCAGATGAGAGAGGAAGATATCATGGCAGCTGTTGAGCCGCTCCGACACAAGGTTCTGGGGTCGTGGGCAGGAGGACAGGCCGGCCAGGCTGACGCGATGCGAAATGGTGGATGACAGCCGGTTCGTTTGTAGCATGCTGTTTTGTGACACTCGGCGGGCATTTGTACTCTGTTGGGCGTACACAGACGACAAACGGTTGCTGTCGCCTCCCGTACACGGCGCCGTCTCGGAGACGTTGCCGCTCTCGCTAAAGCGGGACTCTGCAATCGCCGTGTGCTCGTCAGCAGTCTCGCAGGGAGAGGGGTCGGCTGGCGGCGTCAGTGGAACGAGAGCTTCCTCGAGCAGTGTTGTCATAACGGTGACTGCCGGTAACCGTGACCTCCGATCATCCTCCAGGATATCCAAAAATCGCACGCCCTTGGTGATAATCTTGAACGCCTTCAAGATCATCTCATCGACGATGTCGTTGACGTCCTCGCCGCCAATCATTCTTTGGGCGTCCTGGAGTCGTTTGGCAGTCTTGACCATCGACGATAGCTCTGACAAGATCGACTTCCGGGTCCGCCGAATGCCCTCGTGCCTCTTGACCAAGGGGCACTCCCTTGTCAGACAATCTGTCTGTCCCTGCAGCACGGTATGTCAGAACATACTACTCCTTGCGTACAGCTTCCGGGATCGCAGCAACCTACCAAAAGATAACGAACACCAGCCATGATTCCTTTCATGAACTCCTGGTTGCCAAACATTTCGCTGTCGTTGACCGAAGTGCTGCGCATCAAGTCCCAAAAGTTCAGCAGCGCTTTGAGCAGGGCCCTCATCTCGTCGGGATCGTAGGCTTCACAGTAGTTGGTGGGCAGCCAGCCCCTCGCGCCATTCGCCAGTAGTGTGCCGTCGGCCCAGCCGTTGGTGTGGATGGAGTGCACCAGGACTACATCGCCTTCGCTGAGCGGTAATGTGACGGTCGAGTCGCTCGTCACGTAGTCGGGGTGGAAGGGGTAGAATGCGCGGAGAAAGTTGTGGAAGACCGGTGGGCTAGCGGCGGGCGCGCTGCCCTCTTCTTGCGAGCCATCGGGTGTCG